AATAAAAATAGACTCTTTTAATCTTATATATTGATGATATTATTGGAACAGGAAGAATAATGATGAACTAATTATAGATTTCTTGGGAAATTGTTATTGTTTTTAATTTATTGAAATAATAAAATATGCTAATATGCTAACCCGTAAAACTTTGTTTCCTTTGAGTAGTTTTTAGTAATAAAATTTGAAAGCGTAAATAAGCGGATTTCATTTGACCAATTTTTTCCCCACTGTTTGCTTTCATCCTTTTGTTTTGAAGCTTCTTCTCCTGAAAATCGGAGGCGATTCTGAGAAGCGATTGAAGCGGTTGTAGAATGAGGCCACCCAGTGGAGCGGTCAGAACATTAAAGATGAGGTAAGACCCTGTTTACAGAACCTCGCCCGGGTTTCTTCCTTCCTAACCCTTCGGTTTGGAGGCAGAGCGCAGCCAGAGGAAATGTTTGGGACGGGACGGCCCGCCGGCTGCAAACAGATAAACAAAAATCTGCCTCAAATGTCCTCAAACCAACAGCTAATCAGACTGAGGCGGATGAGTTCACCTGAAAACACGGAAACCAGGCTGAACAACGATCCCTGAGCCGAAACCATTATTGTTTGAAGGCTTTGATTAGCGTGAAGCTATCCGACGCCCCCACCCCTTCAGGTAAACACCCTCACAGTCTCCCTCTGTTTATCTTTCCTGATCTGATCTGCTGCCAGCAGCCTTTAGAGCAAAGTCTGGATGGAAAACAGGAGCCGCTTTCACGGAGCTGCAGCTCAAACCTTTGGCTCATTACATAACATCTCCCTTCTGTAGCAGAAGCTGATCTGGTGACAGGAAAGCAGGATGGTTCCAAGAACTTAGGTGGAAATGAGGGAATCTGGCAGCGGGAGCCGGAATGTGGCTCCACCAAGGAAAAGCTTGACCAAACCAGCTGAAGTAAACAAAACAAATGCAGGGGGGCGGGGCCTCCAGCAGGCAATCAGAACTCTGTGACAGCCGCTCTGCTGCATACTTGGATGCAAACCGGTTCAGCCTGTTCTGACAGCACCGCCCGGCTCCCAGCTGGGTCTGAGCTGAAGTATTTACATCTGCAACGAAGCCTTAAACACGACGGGAATCGCTCCTTTTCATGGCGAGCAAACAACACGTCCCTCCAGCGCCTCCACGCCCAGAATGCGTTAGAAAGCATGAGGCTCCACGTGTCAGAGCAGGTGTGCTTCCTACCTGCGGTGGAGGGGCTGTGCCGGCAGGTCTGAGGCGGCAGGGCCGCGTGGACCGACACGGAGGCGCGGCTGCTGAGGTCCACCACCGAGGGTGTGGGCGGCACCGGTGGGGGCACCTGCTGCAGCGGGGCCTGAGACGGCTGCGCCGCCGGCGGGGCCTGCTCGCCCTGCGCCGTGTTGGCAGGGATGCCGTTTTCAGACAGGAACTCCTCCAGGTCCATGTACTCCAGCTGGAAGTTGTCGCCATCGTAGGGCAGGGTCTTGTCCCACAGGGTGGGGCCGAGGAAGGCCGACTGCGGGTGGCTGGCGGCGCTGCTCTCATCATCCAGCTTCTTCTCCTTCTTCTCCTCCTTCCCAAACCCTGAAAAAAGAACAAACATGTAAAACATGTCTCCCATCTCCTTTAACTTCCTACTAACTGGAAGGACAAAAGTCCCCAGTGAACAACTAGCGACTGATCGTAATCAAGAAGATACTTCCTTAACATGAAGGCTAAATATCTTTCAAAACATGCTAAAGTATAAATAAATCACTGTATCGCCATCTTAATTTAACTATTTATTGTTCCAAATGTATAAGATTCTGAATGAATAAAGAAAAACATGGTTTCCTGCCAAATTGAAACTTATTCATGAGTAGCAGATTCAGTTCTGCTTCCTTTCCCTGGATGAAGTGAATCTGCTGCGTCTGCAACTCTTATAATTGGATTTTAAAGGCTAATTTCTGCCATTATTGTGTTTAGTAGACGATAAAGTTTTTTCTATTCTATTCTATATAACAGAACTGGAACCTATTCGGTCACTGAATAAAAAAAATTACTAAAATAAGTGAAAGAGATGATTTTAAATGTACATTAGCAGCTATTTAAAATGGTCCTTCCCAGTCAAACACCAGCCCAATGGCAGCCAAATTCCCTGCAACTTCCAGCAAAATCTCCTCCAGGAACCGAATAATTTCACTGAATTACAGGGTCTGACCAGGTGATGATGCTTCTCTTTAGATCTTAAGG